TTTTTTACTAAAGGGAAAAATGGGGCTGATCATGATTGATTAATATTATTCTGTACACATAAAGTAACTGTACTACACACACACACACACACATACGCACATATATTATAATATACATGTAAGTATAATTCAGCGCTTTCCGCGACGGGTGGTTTTACGACTATATTGTATATCATAATATTATGTGAAAATTTTGTTCTGGAGCCTCGGCGGCTATGTATGATACACAATATAATATTATATTGTGTCACGTTCCATATTTTGATGCGCTACCGGGAAATAGCTATAAATCCGGAGGAAGTAAAATAAAAAATAAATAATACCCGAGAAAACAGATATTTGATTACCGCCCTAGTGCTGCAGCTTATAGAGGAAAAGGTTGGAGGCGGGTTGACTTAAAAACGCCCTGCTGTCGTCGCGTAGTATTATGATGACAACAGCAGCAGTGGTGGTTTCGGGTACTCCTCGGAAAAAGGAAATTGCCATCGTTCGTATATAATATATATACTCGTATATAGTCATCGCCGTGTGTAATATAGTATATCGTCTATATAGGTTTTTTCGCCGCGACCTAAAACGACTCGTATTTATCATCGTCGTTGTTGCCGTCACGATGAATAATTCCCCGGACTTGTACCGGATAGGGTTGGAAGACGCAACGCAAAAGGGGTAATAACCGTTATAAATAAAATAAAAATAAATTCCCCCTACTGCATTTGTGTACTTATTCTTTTGATGAATGTCAAACAATTCATATTTTTCCTTGTTGAAAAGAGGAAAATGAAAAGTCTAATCTGAAGTTAACCGTAGTTTTCACATTGGTTTTATAAAATACAAAAATTAATAAAATTCTATTATTAAATCAATGGTTTTACATATTATTAATTGAGAGCTCTCATAATACAAAAAAGGGGCCACGTTTTCGTTTAACACGATAAATTGTACTCTGCAGGTTCGTTTCTATGTCGCAGATAGCAATAAATTGAAAGATTTCGTGTCTGCTGCGTTCCATCGTCTTCATATAAACAAAAATATACACCAAACAATTATATCCGTTAATCGTATTGTTACTGCAAATTCCGGTTGGCTTTATTATATACACACACCCTCAAAGACCATTAGGCATATAAAGCATTATGTATTACGATTTACTTCTGTGTAGTTAAAACCGGAAGATCGTTCTAATTGAGAATAATAAATATTTTTATGAACGTTGTAAAATAATTTAATAAAACGTTCGAACATATTACGGAGCGTGTATATAGATGGTATGTATATTACATACATTATACGCAATATAATGCATACTGCAGCGATCGTACTATACAATATTCACGATATGTATACGCGCAATAAGCACGTTAAATAAAGTAATTATTATTAACATAGAATTCGCTTCATAAGCAATTGGCGTATATAGTTAATTATGCAAGGGATAATAAATTTAAATCTCGGTAATTACACTATGTATACGGCGCTAGATAAAGTTTTCTCAAGTCGAAAACTATTAATTTATTAGAGAAAAACGTCTGTATGATATAATTATTACAATTAAACCGAAAAACAAATGATGATAATTTACTGTATCTTTTTTTTAATTGCTGCTGTAGACAATATATAATTACACTTAAATAATGTTTAACCTTGAGTCGCTATTTTATTTCTGTTTTTTTTTTTTTGGTTTTGGTTTATCGCCCGCGCGAAATTGATTTCTGCGCGAATATTTGCATAATAATATTGCACAAACCCGACCAAAGTTTAACTGCGGCAACGTTTAGAAGTAATGTTTTATTCCCCACAGTAATTATAATGGCGTCGGCGTATATGTAGGCACAATGCAATCAGGAGGGCTGTCACGGGAAAATGAATTATGGATCGGAAAATAATAACTCAATAGATTGACAATAACAATATTACTGTGGGTATTAACGAAGATTTTAAGACCCAAGAGTCCTAAATTTCGGTCTGCAGGCCACATCCACCCCGTGGAAAAGTTTTTGTATACTAGTCAGCTAAATATGCCAACTGCAACGAATAATCCAAAAATGAACTAATAATATTCTTATTTTGTTTATTTTATATATATTTTTTAATCAAGTGCAAAGTAATTGCCTACTATATACTCAATATCAAACATAACTACAATAAATTAGTATCCACGATGAAAATACACTATACATATAAAGTATAAAATTCTTTATATTTTTCTATTCTGTATTTAAATTACAACGACGATCACCATTATTGCACTAATTTATTGCATTCATTATAATGTTACAATTTTATAAACCTAAATGTGATGTTAAATGTTTTAATTGTTTGTATGGTTTTCGAGTAAAAAAGTTTGAAGACCCCTGATCTAACTTAGTACTTATCTATAGGTATACATAATCGTTGGTTTAATATAATACGATTGAAGCGGCTCATCCCGAATAACGTAAATATGGTATATAATATTATTATCATCTATAATATATTATAATATTATAGTGGTGGACTCACCCTAACTTTTACGTACGTACGTACACACACACACACACACACACACACACACACACACATATATATATATAGCTGCAGATTGGAAAGGCTGACCCCCTTTGGCAATGTGTTCCTCTCACTCACTCACATCGATGTGGGCTATGTCGAGCTACCACCTACCGACTATATAATATAAATGTGTATTATAGCAGCGCAAATATTATTTTTCAATCGTTTTATAAATCGGCCATCTTTCGACGGGTGCTTTTGGGCGTGAGCGCTCTAGCGTGTGTGTGTGTATGCGTTTGTGTATTTTTTGCCCTTCCGTAAATCGTATGACGTATACTATATATTATTTTTATTTTCCTCGACGATGTTTTACTCGGAAATGAAATCGCCCGAGATCCATTTTCCGTCACGTACTGTTTGCGCGCGTATTGCAGATTAACCGGCAATCATCCACCGAGTAAACAGCCCCCGGCCCCCTGCTTATATTTATTTCACCCCCTTTCGACCGACCCATCCACGTCAATTCGTCGAACTCGCACATTATATCATCGCGACCGTGTATACGAATATAATAATATATCCCCGAGCACGATATTGTATATATATGTATATAGATAATCGTATATTGATATTATTACATACATATGTATATTATATATATATACATATTATACATAGGTACTATATTAAATGAATATACAGGTCTTTTGTGTAGGTATACCTATATATAGACCAATTTTTTTTCTCGGGCGCGGAAATGAAAACAAACAGTAGCTGGAGTTGTCACCACAGCCGCTCTTTTCGTTTTATTCAATTAATTTTTTTTTATTTTAAACCCGCTCTTATAGTATATACCCATTTTATTCCACGAGGATATTTTTCGGCTCAAGTCCTCGCCGTGGCTGCAACGATGATACATAATATTATTATATACGTATATTGTATATACATTGGCGCAGACAGATATTTATAAAATATCATAATTTGGCTGGGAGGGGTCATATTAAAAAATTATGTGTAGATATATTGTATATATATATCAAAATATTTTTAAATTTTACTAATTTTTATGTATCTTTCGAGTATTGTATAAAACAAATACCAATCGGGAGAGTTGAACACCTCCCTCCCCCTTGCAGTGTACGCCACTGTGCATGAATAATAATATGACATATAGATTATAGGTATGGAACTAGATTTGTGTTGCATGCCATAGGTATACATATAAGCCCACGCATCACGGAATCCAGTCGTATTACACATTTTTAGTGTTCTCAACGCCTAACGATGTATGTTATTAATGACGTGCATAATATTAAAATATGTAGGTACAGATTAACTGTTAAACGGAAGTCTTCGGTTTTTCGACGGAATTTTATGCAGGGGATATTTTATCATAATATGGCATAAGGTTAGTTTTTCGAGATGTACCTTTACTGTTTTTCTGTGTAATATATGTGTAGGTACCCACCTATATTAAAATAATAAAACTATAGATTATAGTCTATAATGCATACACATTATATAACGTTGTATAGTATAATAATAGAACGACAGTAGGTACATTATATATAATCATGTAAATATATTGTAATTGTTTAATGCATACTATATTATATCAATCGACATTCTTCATAATATATTTCATATATAATGTGCACTATGTAATAAAATATAATATATAGAAGATGAATTTGCTATTACTCGAAGTCGACGATCGATAATCACACGTATTAATTTCCTACGGGCTACGAGTCTGTGTGAACTCGATTTATTTTTGAGCAATATTTAAGTATTATTATTAATATATATGAGCTAAAAATGCAAGTTTGAAATTTTACGCTTATATGATATATATCTAATATTATGTGCAATGTGCGTGTATGTATTATAATCAAGATACGAGAATCGTTTAGTATTACTGCAATTGAGTACTATATACATATTATATTATAATATTATTACAACTCGTGACTTGTCGTTATGCGATTTATATTATGTATACCTATAAGTATAATATACAATAATAATTTATCATAACGCGTGTATTGAATATACCTAACTTAACTGCGGTCTTCGGGCGTCATAGAAATAATAGTAGCAATAAATTGTGTTATAATAATATGTTTAAATTGTCTGAGTATATATACGATGATGTACGATGATGTGCCGATATAGCTGGTATATGTTCAAGTATGTTTAAGAAAAAAAACATCCAGCCACATTGTATTATATAGTTCCGTGGTTCTCGGCCGATGTGTCACATAAATAGTATCTTAAAGTTTGTTACCATGATTTTGTTTTTGGCTTCAATGTTATTCATAATTTTTTAATACCGAATTTGGTCTTAATGATTTAATAGTATGCCCCCTCTTTTATTTGGTTTTATAAGTTAGGGCAAAAAAAAAAGATGTACCGCTGTATAGTTTAGACGATAGAATACTGCATAAATGTGCAGTATACTGCAGCAATACTGTTATATATAATAACCACGTAATTTCTGTTCTCAGGTCAAGGTTTGGTTCCAAAACAGGCGCACAAAACACAAGAGGATGCAACAGGAAGAAGAGGCCAAGGTGCAACAACAGCAGTCGGGCGGCGGTGGCGGCCCGAAGAACTCGCATCACGTCAACAAGTGGAAGCAGGAGACGCAGAACAGCGGTTCGGACAGCGAAATGCACCACTATGGCGAAGGTTCACCTCAGTCGGCACAGCACAGGGACGACGGGACGATGCACTACGACGGGTACAGTTCCGAAGCGGACAGCGACGTCTGAACGATGCGCGAGTTCGTGGATGATGTACCAACAGCGGTATCATCACTGGACCACGCGGTACCTCAGCCGGAGTGCAACGCGACCACTGCGATTACCGTCTGCGCAGCCCGTTGATGTTGTATAAAATATATCCGGATATATAATGTATATACAGAAGTGTATTATAATTTTGTTCAATTATTATTTTCCATCTTGTACGCACAAAAATGGAAACTGTCCATTTTTCTAGTCATTTTGTGTACGTCGTTGTTTTTAAATCCTCTCTTGTGGTACATATAAATACTTAATAATATATTATATTATAAATCAAATGGAACGTTGTAAATAATCGAAGGTTAAATATGTATAATGCCAGTGTGTAAATAACATATTTGTAGTGAGTATATTATATATAATATATATAAATACAAATAACTCGCAAGTTTTTTAATTATTATTATTATTATTATTGTATAATGTACAAAAGACTAATAAAATGATATTTTCATTTGTAGGCTAATTTAGAATAAATATTATATATTATTACATAACATGTATTATTATTATTATTATTATTATTATTATTATAACTATTATTGTCGTCACGATAAAACAAATAATTGTTAATGTAAAGGCTTATGTACAAAAAAAAAATTCGCCGTTGTACATTCGTCTCCTCCCACTTCTGTGCATGTAACATAGAAAATGGGTTCAATAATTGTTAACTTTAATACGTATGTGTTATGATTGAAGAAAGAGCATTATTGTTTAATGTTTCGTTCGAATAATAATGGTAAAATTGAAAAAAAAATCATAATAATAAATTCCTTAATTTACAATACGATGTGTTTTTATTTTTAATCTCAAACGGTTTTCCCGATAATCATTTTAAGATGAACAGACCTGTACCTCTGAAGTGTTCAAAAAGGAAATATTAAAGTATGCTCTTAAATGTTTACATCCTATATTCATTGATATTATTATATCGTACATAGGTAAGTGTATGGGGTGTCTTGTAAATTATTCGTAACACGATTTGGCACATATTTTTACGTGTATTTACGGAATCGTCGTTAACATATTGAAATTGGATTGTGCGAATTTAAAAAAAAAAACAATATATATATACACGATTTTAGCGATCAACATTACTTTTGCCCACGATTTCAGACCGTCCCAGCCGATTTCCTAACTGTTGACAACAATTTAGCAGTCTCTGTAGCTGCAGTCGCGAGTTGGTAACATACATAAGTATCTATAAACACTGATTCTCGCTTTTGTCAATCACTACTTCATGGGACCAACAGAGCGACTAGGTCGAGTCTTCCATTTTAACAGACGGGACGGGGAACCGAGCTAGGAGGAAACATGGTATTAGTCATGCGGCAAATGCCTATCTCCCGATTTGTGACGACGAACGAACATCGATTCATTTGACGTCCGTACAAAACCCGCACCGTTGCAAGGACTGTGGTGACAACTTCTACAATATTTGATTTGCACAATTAATATTATTTTTTTATTTGAGCATCACACAAGTTTCCGTGTACGTTTCAAGTGGTCCAGCGCGCATCGATCACATAATATAATTGTGAAGCCGAAATGTATAAGAGTTATAACATTCTGCAGGGTTATAGTGTTGTAGTTACTCTTGTTACTCCAGAGTTCAGACTCCTTAAATCTCACTAAACACCTGCAACGGGACTACGACCGCGTCCGTAAAACACCGGCAAACCGCCTCAGTCCGTGTCAACATAATATATTACATCACAATATAAAATATTGCCTAGTATATGGACGCGTGTGGAACGCGTGCTGATCACGACATAGTCCATCGGTGGTCCCATTTTCACCACAGCCAAGGTCAAAACGTGTCGACATCAAGTTAAGAAAAGCCTCAGCAATATTTTGAATATCGCATTATTCCGCACCTCTGAAATTATCACCAGAGTAGCCAAAAAGTTGTATAGATATGTATCCTCTTCACGTGCGCTTATTGTAAAAATAAAAATTTATACAGATTGTGTATTCTTAAATAAATATCAAAAACAAACTTGTTAGTGTCTATCTATTGTAGAATAATATTTTATTCGTCAAAACCATATTTAGTTATAGTTGTATTATGTTATTCATAGTTACCTATAGCTGTTCGACGATGATCACCAAAACGCGTTTGTATGATGACTTTTTCGTTTTTCATATTTATACCATCATCCGGGATTTTTAGCAAGTCAAACCCGATTGTCTTTTATAGTAGTACAATAGAACGCCAAAACGACAAAATATGTTTAAATATAATTTGGATGTTCGACCCCGAGATAAATATCAAATATATAGGTCGCTGGTATTCGGCAGTGTATGCGAAGCTATTACCATGCTATATTAAGTTAGGTTATTCTTGACAAATATAATATGTACCTGAAATTATTAAAATAAAGAGGCTAAAATACCACTAAAGTGTCATGGGTCATGGGCCACGTGCAACGTGAGGAATTTTATGAAAAATATTTAAAATTGTTTTTTTTTTAAAAAACTTGTTTGTATTTATATCAAAATGTGATTTATTTTCTCATTAGGAACGTCTGAGCATAACCAGAAGATTGGGATATGAATATTCACGTGATATGATCATTGTACGAGTGGAAAATAATTTAAAACGGACTTTGTCTTAATAGTATGCAATATTTTAATAACCTGAAGTTGAGTGTACATTACTATTTTAGGAGGGGAGATCTAACTGAAAAAAACCAAGTAGCTAATAGCCTATACCTTAAAACACATGTACGGAAATAGCTGTTCAAAGTGCCCATTATAAATTCCCTAAGAAATAAGTGTATTTAACTTAAATTTCAAATACCCCAAATTCAATGGATATTATGTTTGTGCTGCAGTTATATAAATAGTTATATACTATATATAATATACAATACTATAATATCATATAATGATGTTAGCTGTTACGATTTTCACTATATAATTTTACACTATATACCTAGTATATTATCATTTATCATTGTGTGAACCCAGCTGAACAAGACGCATAATGGTGCAAGATCGGTGATTAGATCTTCTGTCAATAGCTATGTGAAATATTGTATTTGAATGAAACAACTATAGTTCCTACGAACCGTATGGCATTTTCGATCTACATATATTTTTTTTACGAATACGAACAACAATATTATATTTTAAGGCTTTTCCAAAAAAAAAACAAACATATTATTCAATGATATTTATGTGTTACGTCTTAAAATAAAAGTTCATCGGGCTGTTCTGATAACCACATTACCGCCCCCCCCCACAATTATATACACCATTGTATACGGTACACCTGTACCGGTATGACGTATTGTTTGTATATAATATCAACTACACTCGGTGACGGACTATACCAGCTACTTTGCAATGATATACATATACCGCTGTAATATGTTTAGGAATTGATTAAAAATCAAAAACCGTCTAAAATAGATTTATGTATACCGACTGCAGTGAGAAAACACAATACGATATTATTTTACTTACGATTATTTTTTTTCCGTGTACATCCACGTGCAAGTGTCACGTTGTTTTCGAGTACGATTAATGTACGTCGTTCGATATTATTTTTAAAAGTCACGCGATGGCGATGTCAAAACACCATTAACCATATACATACCTATATTATAATACGCCTGTGCCTATATAATACGCATAATTATGCGTATAAAATATTTTACAACTAGTGTACATATCGACAATCGACAAATCTATAATACGCGTCTTGCGACGCCTCGGTGTTCAACGAAAACGAATATTATCGCCTTCACGACTTTGCGCAAAGTATATATTACATGTGAAATTATATTACAATAAAATTATACACATTATATAATAATATATGAACAGTAAACGGCGTCGACGAGCCAAGTGCGTGTGTGTGTGTGTGTGTGTGTGTTTATATGTTGTCAAGTATATTATATACATATATATTCTACACATCATAAATAATTTTGTAAAATGGCGTATTCCGGACACGTCATGCTGGCCGGTCGTATATGCCCGCGACGAAGGTTGCCCGCTACTTAGGGACACAAATGACAATTATTATTATTTACCGGACGGAAAAAAAAAAATTAAAGAAAAAAATCACCGTTCGGAGTGTGAAACTCGTTATACCATATATATATATATATAATGCTTATAATGCGTTGTATCGTATATATTATTATTTCCAGTTAACTGCCACCGAGGAAAAAAACGCCGTGCACGTTTTTATATAATCTGTACATACCTACCAACCATATAGATGGGTATTATAGAGGTATCCGATAATAATATATTAATATATTATATACCGCGCGGCCAGAAAGCGGCGATTACTTTTTCCAGCCGTTTTTTCAACCGCGGTGTTGGTATAAATAAGTTTTGGTATACCTAGTAGGAATATCCGCGGTACACATGCAGAACACCAAAACATATATATTATAATTTTCAGGACCTTACCTCTTTTACCCTCCAACAATCAATCCCGCTACTTTTTCCTTATTATTATTGTACAAACAATAAACATACATACCTATATAATTATTTTAGTTCCCGATATTATATTAGATAAGTATACACCTAATATGATGTTGTTTTATCAGTGATATATTATAATTAAGCGATGAATTGAAGAAGAAAAGACAATTGCTCGATGAAAACCACGGCGGTTAGAAAGATATTAATGACGAATGGATTGCAATTATAATTGTATAAAACAATTTAATTGTTTTTGAGAATGTGATAAATTCCACTTTAACGGTCATTAAATTGTATAAGCAATACAATAAAAAATTTTGTATAGGTTAGCTGTCAACATTTAAATTCCTAAATTGAGTATACGCAGCTTATTTAAATAGACATTTTTTTGAATGGTTTTCCAATAGTTTCATATACAAAGAAAAAATCAGACTGAGCGTTTAATATTAATAACATTTAAAACTGTAGATATAACAACATTAGTGTCAGCCTGCAAGTCTGTACACTTCATAATTTATAAATCATTTGTTATAATATTTAACATAAGTGTATTCCTCAGCCGTTAGTATATTATTGTGGGGTAGTAGGTATTATATAATAATGTTTATAGGTTTTATTAAAAACCAACGGTTGGATAGACGATGATTTAAAATTCACAAAATACTTTATGCGTTTTTAAACGCAAAAGCAAAATAAAAATGATTTTCTTACGAGAGGTATATTATAGGTGGTGTTAACAAGAGAGTAGTAACTTGCGAGCGGTAGGTATAGGTAGGTAGGTAGGTATAGGTAGGTAGGTTTAATATATATACTCAGTATTTACACGCATTATTATTATTGTGCACGGAGGGCGTTTTGAATATAACAACGTGACGCAGAGGCGGATTCTTTTCCGATATGATATTATTTTTCTGGTACATTATAACATGGTCTCGTCGTTTATT